ATCACCTATAGATGTGCTTATCGAAGATAAAAAACGCCGGGAAAGATTAGCAAACATATTTCAGATAATTTAGAGGTGCTCTTTCTCGCGCGAGTTGAAACGTGGTGGTGCCAGTGTGCAAATAGACCCCAACCACTTCCGGTTATGAAGTAAACGGCGGGTTTCGCAGTATCTGTGAAATCAAATATACACGATATCTCCTGAAAATGGTCACATATAGCACTGTCAGACTTAGTTCACTCTTACGATAAAAGAATGAGTAAAAAATTAGGGAAGATATGTGAACCGGAAGTGTGCAAGTGCTACCCAGTAGATGGCGCCACTGAGTTTGTTGCCGAACAAAAAAAAAAAGGCAAATATCTTTAGGATGATTGGGTCTTTATTTATGCTGTCAAACCTTCAGGCAAGAATTTAATAAACTTTTATTATCAATACCTGACTGTATGAAGTTCACATAACAGCTTGAGGCCGACACGGGAGGGCAATATTCGAAAATACTCCAGCTGCTGAGTCTGCGGAAACTATCTTTCTTTTTTTTCCTTTTGGTTCGCTGTTTCACAGTGTGAAACACCGGGTCGCGGGGTATGCCAGAAAGGACTGTGTGCTCACATAAAAGACCCGAAGGCAAATAGATGAAATGCACAGAGAAATACATACAGATGCATGCAAAGGTAATCCCAATTACACATAAAATGCACTAAGGACAGACAATATATTTCTAATGTAAATTACATTTGGACATTGGCTTGCACGAGCTCAAAACTTCTCAAGATACTGTCTCGGGAGGCTAATGTTATATTCGGTTTTACGTGCACTTGTTTTGGGGCCTCACTTTACAACTTTGCGTTTTATCAGTCACACATGCTCCAACATGTTATCAGGCTGCCACGTATCATCGTCAGACTGCTATATATACAGCACTCTTTACACTTTGGAAACCCACTTTTCTAGTGTTGAGAACATTGCAATTAACCAGAAAACTAACCTGTTTAATGTGGTTTCCACTTGAAATCATCGCACTATATGCTGGTGATTACAGCGACTTGTTCTTGCTGGGAAAATAAAATTCAGTGGTGTGAATGCATGCTGAAAAAAAATTCGCACTCAGTACAAGCCATGTATTCGAGACAAAAATTATTCTTGCTTGGTGCAGCGTCGTGAGGAACGGCACGAGCGTCTGGCACCACGAAAGCGCACTTTCTGGCAGGAGTGATTTTGCAAACAGTAGTTTCCGGGTGGGATCACGCTGTCTGGTCTGCACCGAAGTTGCGGAGCAGAGGAGTTATTACAACACAGTATGTTTTCAACCCCCCCCCCCCCCCCTTCTTTTCTTTTTTCGTAGCTCCTCCAGATTTGTTTTTCTTTTTCAGAGGGACTTTCTCCTCCGTTGCAGGGTGTCAAATCAACAAACATGTTTGTGTCATTTGTTTACAGTAATCCTCCATTTCTTCTTTTGCGCCCAAAAGTTGTGAAGTTCAAACAAAATAGGGAGGTGGTCAAAGCCTGGGGAAGGACTTGAGAACGAAACTCCTGTGAGGTTGAGCAGCTGCCAGCGTTCGGCCGTCCCTCCGAGGCCACTAGGGTCCTTCTTTTCTGGTATCCCTCCCCGTACACAATTGTAGTTATATTTATTGTTAGATTAATAAGTCATATTTAGTCCTTACAATGTTTCTATTCTTGGGGACAGCTTTTTGAGAGAGTTCAGCAACAACGAAAACTGTTTGGGTGCCTCAATGATGTGTATACGTAACACAGGTCTTGCAACAATTTTTGCAGTTTCAGTAAATACCAATAAGAACTAATCCCCGACGTTGATAACTCGCAAAAACACCCATTAGTTTTCCGCCCAGCTCAATGACAGACGCAGAAAAAATAAATGAAACAGCTTTCCCCTCCTCAGCTCGCAATAAGAACAAGGGGCAACGTGATCCGACGGTAATTATTTACCGTTGGTGTTCATCATAGGCACGCGCTGGGGTCGGCAAAGAATAAAGCATGGGTTGAACTTTAGACATTGTTATAGTTCGGCGATTTTCATCTTTGATTGAACATGAGCCAACACAAATGTTTGGCGATGCTGATGGTCAAGAACCCAAGCACTTGACTCGGGTTCATGACAATCGAGTCCTTCGCAGTGTTAGGTTACTGGCGGATAGAAGTCGGGATGCCATGTGACTTATGGTTTCGACAACGCTCATAAATATAGTAACGTTCTCAATTTAAGTCGACTTGATGCAGCGAGTCACGTGACTACATCAAGAGGCCACGTGACGAAACATTATTTGACAGCATTTTTTGACACCATGATGCGCATGACCACGTGATACATGATTATCCGTTGTGCCAACAAAAATGCCAAAAAAATACAATTTCTCATACATTGCAATTTAGGATATGACAATTCAATCACTACATAGAAATACAGCTGACAATTTTTATTTCCCAGACACTTATTTTGGAAAGAAAAAAAAATTACACTGAACCGTTTATTATATTTTTTTTCCAGTTCAGTTCTGGCTCAGTTCCAAGATGGCGGCAAAAAGATTTTGGTTCGGTTCAGTTCCGGTTCAGCTAAAAATAATGGTTCGGTTCCGGTTTGACACTCTGATCAGGGCTATTCACAGCCTCCGATTGTTGTTTTTTTGAATCTGAAACTTTCTATAGAAAAAGGTTTTGCATTCACTAAAATAAACGACGTGCAGTCCTCTCAGCTGTGCACGTGTGCACAGTTGTGTTGCGAAGCGTTGCACACTTGTTTTAGCTACAATGAGCTTGCCGATACCGACACTTCTATCCAAGTGTGACTCACAGTTGTCGAGCAAATGCTCGTCAGCAACTGACGCACAGCTGCTTCCGCATCGGATATGTGGCAAAGAAGCTTGTTATATCGCGACTTCTGCTCAAAAAAAAAAATAGAAATTTTCATTAATTTTTAAATTGTCGGACATATGCCCGGCAAATTCAGGCAATTGATTCATTTCTTCTAATCTTTACTAAAAATTGTTGACAAATTTAAAATCGCTCGCTGAAAAGCATGTGACGCATTATGGGTATTTTGGCCCACAAATTTAAACGTATATACATTAGTCATTCATAGCAAGTATATACCTCATTTCTTGGGACGTTAAGTGTCGCTGAAGTACTACATTTAAGACTGATTGTGGAGGGGGGTCTCGCAAGTTTCGCATCGACTGGGTGATTAAGCAGGGATTTAAATGAAACTACTCCAGAGTCCAGTCACCGCTTCTTCATGCCAGTTATTTTGAGAAAATATTTGTTTACTGGTTTACAAAATTCGATAGGAATCAACTTGGAACTAATAAGAGACCAGAACTCACAGAACACATTGGAACCAACAGGATACACAGAGTCGCTTTCACCGAGGTGTTTACTACGCCCGCGAGAGGTACTCGAATTTCACTTTTCCATTTTCAATCCGGTAAGACATTCCTTTCTCAGTATTATTTTGTCTGAATCATAAAATATACACCCTATCCGCCGTGGTTGATATTGTAGTGGTGGAAAGCAGTGAATATTCTCGTTTCTTCATCCAGCTTTTTGTACTGGTGTACAGAACAGCACACCACCATCCGAGTACTTCGACACCTTAGCACCAAAAGTGTTTGTTAGCATGACTATGCGTGCCACGATTTCAAGGTCCTCCTACGAATATCACTGCACTACATAAACACAGTGCATGAAACAGGCTTTGCCGCACGTTACCCAAACAGCACATGAATCGAGCTGACAAGCCGAGGGATCCAAGATCTGTGCGGTCGGTCTGTCCCAGACTTTCCCACCCGCGACGTCACAAACAATGATGATGATAGCTAGAGAAGCGCCCCCTGTAATTCACGTTCGCCAGCAATGGCCCCCAACCTGGAATGTAATCTAGAACAAGTCAAGTCACCTGGCAGATTTACTTCTTAGCCCAAACATGTTTTGAGTAAAATTTGCCAGTTTGTAGCATGACATGTTTTATAAAAAGAAAGAGCAAATAAGAAAACATGGTTTACTTGAGCGACATTTGATATATGTATGAATGATGGCGAGGCTTACGGGACACTCAAATTCACTGTTCCCTGCTTTATGCCATCATGAACAAGTGATAAGCAAGGGACGTTTTAAGCATTTCAGTTTTATTAGAGCATAGAATGATGTGCAAAAATAGAGATCATAGTGAACACACACAAAGTATAAGATTAAAATATGACTAAGATGATGTTACTCTCCCTTCACAAGCCGTGCAACAATCATGATTATTGGCTTACCATTTAAACGCTGCAGCTTGCAATGACACCATACTACCGTACGCAATTTGTACTGGCCTACCTTTTACGTTGATGCCATTACACAGGCGTTTATCTGATCAGGCGATTGGAAATAACAAACAGATACAGAGAAATGCCACACAGCGCAAGTCTTGTAATACCAGACTAAAGTCTGATTCACATGATATGATTTTGCTTGCGATTTCACAGCTGAGGCATTGAGCACCGAAGCCTCCAGCATGCCTCTTCTGCCGCACGAGCGACGTCGCAGCTGCAAAATCGCCGCATGCAAAATTTATAAATACAGACAGGTCGAGTGATGGCTGCAGCGGCTATCGGCCAACACAAGCGCGCGATAGGGGAGATCGGAGCAACAAACAGTCCTTGGGTCCAAGTGTGTTGACCCGATTACAGTGTTCTTCGCGTTCGACCAAATCCAATGTCGAGCGGCACACCGATTGGCCTTTGTCTAAGCATATTACCATAAATAGACTTGACGATTATATTAAAGTGCTCAAAATGGTTGTCACAGCAAGCGAGCGCCCGCCAACCTTTTAGCAACTCGTGCCGACAAATCAACCACTGCATTAGAAAGGCTAAATATGGGAACGATAGAAATAAAGTCCAAGTGCACAAACAAAAAGGTGGAAAAAATTTAAAGAAAAAAATGGACACGGGCAAATTTACGTGCGTCGCTAACACAACCGAACCCAGGAAAATTGGACAAACCTGTTTTCGTAGTGCTTCGACCAGCACACGGGCGCCGTCAATCATTTTAGGTGCCGCCATCTCGCTCAAATTTGGAGCAAACAACTGCGATTATGCACTTGAGTTCAAGTTAAAAACGAACTTTTCTAGACTACTAGCGCAGCCGAGTCACGCATGCATAGCAGCGGCGACTGCTATCATATCGTCGATTTCGCCCGTAGCAGAAAAAGGCGGAAATCCTTCAATTGGCCCAGTGTAGCCAGACAAATAATCCGACACGGCTAAAACGACCGATAAAAGCCAGGAGTGAGCGCTAGCAAACGACGGAGGCCACAGTAGTCTAGTTTTCGGTTGTTCATTTCCGAATGACTTGAATGACAGATGCCTCAATATCCTGAAAAAGATTAATAAAATAAATGTAGAAACAAAAAGAGAAAAAAAAAAAAAAAAGGTTGGTGAAATCTTACATTGGCGGTTTCGCACTGGGATGCTTCGGGCACTGAAAATAAAATGAGGTTAGAGATATTCGTACAAAGTAGCCGACTGCACTAACGGAAATAATGAAATTATAAAATCCGTATTTTACCAGTGTGCTTGATGACAAAGGGCTCCAGGGGACCGTACTGGTTCACTCCAGCCTAACAGTGGAAAGCAACACAAAAATAACTTCTACAAGGATTTGCACCTTTAACAAAATGCATTCCTTTACAACCTGTCTACATTTTTTTTTTTTTTTTTGTAGAAAATTGACAGGTTTTAAAGCACTCGAGCACAAGCAGCCGTTAGTTGTCTGAGCAAGCTGGTACACATTTCATGTTGAAACATCCTTTTTGATGTAGAGAGTTAAAATAGACGGTTTAGAAAGTTCAATGTTCAATGGACAAGCTCCTTAAAATCTCGTTCCTGTCTTCATTGCAAAATATAATTGGGAGGATTGGCCTTACGCGAAGTTTGATTAACTAATCACTGCAGTTAAGCAGTAGTGTCAAGGATGATTAACAACCAGTGTGTTGGTAACTGCACTGCAATGCCAGTATTTTTACATTACTTACTATTAAAGATGCTGAAACCTTTTTCGAACCTGAGGTTTTAAGATTTAACCAAAGGGTTTGAAAAACTTTGAATTTTCCAACTTTAAATCACTGTCATAAAAAACTTTCCCATTGACTGCATTGCCCTTAGTCTTGACACATTGTATAGGGCGTCCCAGGTGACCAGGCTCGATCTAAAATCAACCTTAAAAATCGACGCCTGCACGTAGCAATCTAAACTTTTCGTCAAAGGTGTATTTCACAGGTCCGTTTTTTCTTGTAAAATTCCAAAGCGTAGCCCTCTTCGCGTAAAAATATAGGGCAAGAAACTTGCCAGGCTCGACGGGGGGCGGCGATGCAGACGACCAAGTCGAGTTGCCGAGTGTGTTTGGTGCACGTATTGATACATGGCGTCTGGAGCAGTGCCCGAGGATGTAGCCGACAAGCGAGAGAAAGCAGACGACATGCAGACACAATCTGCTGGCAGCAAAAGCACTGTCGTTATGCAAACACTTTTTTTCCCTTCGTTTTGCTTTTACTTTTTGCATTCATTTTTTAACCAAAGGTACATTACAAAAAGATTATGTTCATTTGAATAAACCATGGTGGTTGCAAGCTGCCTCGTTAGGGAGATTGCGCCATTTATCAATACAAGCACCAAATTCGCCCCGTTACCCGACTTGGTCGTCTGTGTCGCAGCCCGCCATTGAACCTGGCACGTTTCTTGGCCCTATGTTTTACAGAAAAAAAGCTATGCTTTGTAATTTCACAAGAAAAAACCGACCTGTGAAATACACCTTTGACGAAAAGTTTAGATTGCTACGTGAAGGCGTCGATTTTTACGATCCATTTTAGATCGAGCCTGGTGACTTGAGATACCCAATATATCTAAATAACATGCAACTACAAATTATTTAAGTTTTTGTCCTTGAATAAGAAAAATAAATAGAGTACCCTACTACTACTATTACCACTAGTGCTACTAATACCACTACCGCAACTGTTACCTAGGTTATTTGTAAACAGGCACCCGTTAGTTGTCTGAATGAACTGCTTGTTAAAAATGTCATGCTAAAACAGATGTTCCAGCTTTAATCAGCTAAAGAAAGAAAAATATGTATTCTGTTGTATGTCAAGACACACCTGAAGATATAGGATAGAAAATGTAAATAAAACAAAGACATGCATTAAAAACTGTGGAACTTGGGCTTTCATGAAATTCAAGAACTTGTGCCAAAAAGAAATTTGAAACCATTGAACTCAAGCTTTCAGAAACCTCAAAAATTTTGAGGTTTGCAAAATTCTAAACTTGCAAAATCTTTGTGAATTCACACCTTAGAAAGGTTCAAAATTTCCTACACCTTCTGAACTCGAACCTCGGGAGGTTCACGACATCTCTTTACACTACACAAGAGAGTAAAGTGAACAATCTTAAGAAGAACTATGTGTAGTATTTAAATTTTTTCATTTAAGTCACTCGCCACACTAACTAGATGGCGCCACGAAACGCCACAGCAATACCCGTGGCCAGGCGGCGCTATTGTACACCCATTGGGCCGTGCCCCCGGGTTGTTTCCCCCTGAATAAAAGAGTAAGTGTTTGGACCCTGACGTGGCTGGACGTCTCCTCTCTTCCGGGCGTTTCAGCCCTTGGGCCCCGCCGGCGCTTGCCTCATCACTACGGCATGTAAGACCCCGTTTCTTCTGCAGGCTCACGTAGGCTCTGCGCTCCCTCTTATTTTCACGGGTGACTGCTTTTAATACAACATTTTGGCGACGAGATTACTACACTATGCACTTGGTAACGACTTACACACATTGGCACACAAGTAGCTGCATCAACATCCTAGTATACTAAAGAGAAACAACTTCTAAAACTGCGAAAGCAGTAAAAAAAATACCTTGGAAAGGATGCCCATATTCGACGACTGGTACTTCTTGGCCGAAAGTGGCGCCATTGGTACCCTGGATCTGGCTGTGGTCACCCGGGCTGATGCAATGGCACATAGGGACTGCACAATGTACATTGTTCCATGTGAAGCAGTAAAAAGACTGCCTGTCTCTTTGGCACATACCAAATGTGCTCGAAGTGCATAGCATTTATAGGTCCGCTTTGATGTCAGGTCAGGTAAGGTCATGTGACATCACGACCTCACGGTGTAACATGACATGACGTCATGTGATGTGATGTGATGTGAACTCACACGATGACCATCACGGCAAATCTTTTAAGATGCCGATGACATTGTGCGAACACCGTGACGTCACCATCAAGGACACATCCTGAAGACTCGAAAACACTAAGAGCTAGCCCTACAAATGCTAAGCATTTAAGAAAACTTGGCAAGTTAGGAACCTCCCTCTCTGGCCCAGCCGACTTACCTTAGCGGAAGGTGACTTTTTGGGTTTCACTATCTGGACAAGGGGGGGTGCAGGCTTCTCGTGAATGTACTGAAAATATTGTAAAAAAATAAAAATGAAGTAAACATTGTCTGGGAGATGTCGCTACAGTCACTGACAGCGAAGGAATGTGGGGTGTGGCCTATTATTACCAGCTAACGCCGTAATCTCATTGGCTGTGAAGCCATAATACACCCAGGACTCGCCATGGCCTGCGTTTGTTAAAGGGTCACTGACAGGGTATTCATGCTTGCAACGTTTTTATTTGTACATGACCTATGAGCGCCCAGCTACCCAGAACACAATTTGCAGCTCGAAATTCGTTTTTTTTTTCGCCGAAAAACAGCCGATCGGGAATCGGCCGGTTTGATCGCGCTCAATCTCTTCTCTGTGGTCATGTGCCGTTTTCTACGGTTTAGACGCAACCACCAAAGATAATTAAAGTTGTGGGTCATCGAATGCACACACTCAATACTAGAAATGGACAAAAAATATTATACCCAGTTTTTTTCTGATCAGATTTATAATAGGGAAGTCAATTGTCCACAAGCCTAATTTCGGGTTTATTAGTTTGCTGCCATGGTGTTTCATGGTGCCAAGTGTAGGTAGTTTGCCGACAGCCTTTAGGCTGTCGGCGACTACCCACACTTGGCACCATGAAACGAAAGGCAAATAATATTTTGAGTCACAATGCCCACTTTTCCGCAAATACACGCAATGTTAAAATTTCCTTCGTCCTGGTTTCGTGCCGTTTGCCTCACTACATCAGAAGGTATGTACAGAGCGGAATCCGAAAGTTAACTGACGCAGGTTTGCAACTCAACCGTGACCAATTTGACATCAACTTACGAAGATTGTCTCCGATCTTGGGGCTGCTTTGAGACCCATAGACCATTCCACTAAGGGCTCTCAGAGCCGTATACTGGGAGAGGTTGGTCAATAAGAGGAGCGGGTAGAGCCAGAGCGTGCACCAGACGCAGAAAGAGGGCTTGACATGCTCTCTTGGCCAACTAGAAGCCAAAAGATTTCCCTACCGGTGGTAGCGAGAAATAAGCATGTAAGGGTTAAATGTAGTAACTCTTCATGGTCGAACATATGCTGCACGTGATGTTTCAATTATGATTGGGCAAAAAGATGTAAGAATCGAGAGTGCCGCTCAAACTCTATTTTGCTCGGGCAGTGCGTGACCGCTCCGACGGCAGATTCCTGGCCTTCGACGCCTGGCATATGGATTATGTTGATTGTTCCGCTAGTCGCGTTCTTCCTCCATGATGTTGGATGACCGTGATTGGTACATCACGTGCACCATATTTTCAGTCACTGAGAGTAACTCTGACGCACTTATTAATTTTGTTTCTCGCGACCACCACCAGGATATTTCCGGCTTCTGGTTGGCCACATTCCAATTTGTGAAGACACCCTGGAACACGCCCAGCCCGCTTTTGGCCAATGGCACCTGTTCATTTGTCTCCTATACTTCCCAATGATTGGCCCAACTCTCTATATATGGCTCTGATCGGCGCCATTTTGTTTGACATCAGCGCCATCTTCGTACATTCGGGCGTTCCAAGAGAATCGGTGGAATAAGAGGAAAAGGGCATGCGCCCGAGCCCGGCAGCAGACGATGAATCGGTCGTTTGCAACGTTTGTGCAGTTCTGGTAGGCCGTACCGCAGGAACTGCCCAAACGTTGTCTCCCCCTTTCCTCTCTCCTCTCACTCAAGTAAACTCACAAGTCCCACCCACAAAGCTCTATGGTCACTGTGATTGGTGGTTTCCTCCATTTCACTCGCTTCCTCTCCAGCGTTCACTCCACTAAAGTGGAAAGAGCTTGTCCCGCTTTCTTTAACCTGAAGGTGTTACAAACACAGCTTACTCACTCTGGCAACCGGACTCTCAACCGCCCAAGGGGAGTTCATCCGTCCGGCAGACCGAGGCGCCGAGGAGGGCGTTCTGTTGCACGGCAACTTAAAGGGACTCGGCGACTCCTTGGACTTGGCCGTTTGACGAGGCGAGCCCCGAGCCTTGACCGCACCGCGTGCCGGAATCCAAGACGGTGAGCTACCGGGTAACGGGCGCCGACGCGGAGAAGCCGCGCCTCCCTCACTGCAAGGAAGGTTCTCGACAGGCCCGAACGGCGACCTCAGCGTTGGAGTCCTGGCGAAACGCCGCGGACTAGCTGACATGGCGACTTTACGTGTCGATCCAGGGGCGGGCGCCGATGTCTGCGCCGGCCGTTCCGCGTAACAGAAGGACGTCTGACAGCTCTGTTCGATCCACTGGTGAGCTTTTACTTCCCTGCTGGAATCCTCCAAAGAACTCGCAGAGCCGCTTTTGTCTTCATCCAAGCTAACGACGGGTTGTTCCTGCTGTATTTCATCGTCCCGAGCGAGGTCGATGCTGCGACAAAACAATGTTCCAAGCGAAATCTCCTCCAAAGTAGGCACTTTTCCGGGAGGCACGGTTTGGCTACACGGCGGTTGCGGTGGTCCCGAAGTCGTCTGTTCTCCTAGGGACGTTCGATCTTCCAGCGCCTTCTGCTTCTTCGGCGAGCATGCGAGCGTGATGCAGTCGACGGAAGAATCTTGCCGGTCGGTCTGATCAGGCGTCGGGTGGGTTGCTACCTCCGCCGTTTCGCAGTCTTCGAATAGGTCTAAAGATCCCCGAGAGTCGTCTTTCGAGACTAGACAACTCGTCTCTTTCGGAGAATAAGGCTTTTCTTTTTTACGGGCTAAATGCTCCGTTGCATCTCCGCCGACACAGACCTCACCGCCATTGTCCTCGGGTTCGGAGACGCCAGCGCGAATACGTCGAATGACGTAAGCCACCGCGGATGCCTTGAGCTTGTTTTCGTTGATGATCACCTCGTCATCGTCCTCGTCGATGCAAAAGCTGAGGTGTGTTATGTCGTGGTTCATAATGGCTGGTACAGTACTACAGACCCCTTGCTGCTGCAAACGACCGTTAGAAGCTTGCAGTACGACTGATGGGGGTGCGGAGGGTTTTCAAAGTACTGATGGAGACCCTCGGCAGTCCGCTCGGTCCGCTCGGTTGCTTCAGGGGCAGTACATAAGTTTAAGATAATACACTCTGACGGTAGAACGATGAGGGATGATACTGAGACGATGAAGATCACCAAACAAATCGAAAGAGCTTCGTCGTGCAAGCCGCCGAAAATTAAATCCCGAATCATGTGATGAACGTTTGATGATGATGATCACACAATTTGATCCTGAAAAATATGTATGATGGGACGAGGCGACGAGGCGTTGGATAGGAGTGATTAGAGCACTATATAGCTCCTACGGAGCAGAGTAGCGCAATCCTTTGAACCCCGTGTTTTGCCGACAACATGGCCGACAGAGCGGCTCGGCGCGAGTCACGTGGTACTCAGGGTTCCAGGAGGCGGCCCGCCCTATGGGAGAATACATGGAGATCGACATAACACGGCTGATTAAAAAACTAACGACGAGTTCACATTTTCCAAAACTAGCCTGTCGTGAAGTTAGTAAAGCGCTAAACACTTTATCAAAGTTTTAATAATATCGGATGCGTGTGCAAATTTTGAGAAGGCAATTTCCAAGGCAATGGCGTTTGAAGCAGACGATGTTTGCTCGCAGCGGAGATGGGCTTTTCGGGTTGGCCGGAGCGGGTCACGTGAATGGTGTGACGTCGCCGTGTCGTCTGCTGCATGATGCCGCTCAGGCAATTTTTAAAAAAAAGTTACATCCTTGTACGGCATAAAACTTATCGCACATTATTCTAAAATGTTTCATTATTATGTCAAAAATGATTTCCATTCCGCACATCCCCACGAAACTGAAGAAACAACGATTTTCTCACGTTTTCCATGCATTTCTCACCGCAGTTGGAACTAGAGCACTATATAGCTCCTACGGAGCAGAGTAGCGCAATCCTTTGAACTCCGTGTTTTGCCGACAACATGGCCGACAGAGCGGCTCGGCGCGAGTCACGTGGTACTCAGGGTTCCAGGGGGCGGCCTGCCCTATGGGAGAATACATGGAGATCGACACAACACGGCTGATTAAAAGATGAACGGCGAGTTCACACTTTTCAAAACTAGTCTGTCGTGAAGTTAGTAAAGCACTAAACCATTTATAAAAGTTTTAATAATATCGGATGCATGTGCAAATTTTGAGAAGGCAATTTCCAAGGCAATGGCGTTTGAAGCAGACGATTTTTGCTCGCAGCGGAGATGGGCTTTTCGGGTTGGCCGGAGCGGGTCACGTGAATGGTGTGACGTCGCCGTGTCGTCTGCTGCATGATGCCACTCAGGCAATTTTTTAAAAAAAGTCACGTCCTTGCGGGGCACAAAACTTAGCGCAAATTATTCTAAAATGTTCCATTATTATGTCAAAAACAATTGCCATTCCGTACGACCCCACAATACTGAAGAAACAACGATTTTCTCACGTTCTCCATGCATTTCTGACCACAGTTGGAACCTCCGGGCGTTCGCCGCTAGTCGCCGAGAGGCGGCGTTCTAGATTGCGCTACTCTGCTCCGAAGGAGCTATAGAGTGCTCTAGGAGTGATAGCCTAGTTTTTAATGTGCTTATGGTCCTATGTTTTAAATTATTTTTGTCATCAAAAGAGTTATGTTAATAATACATTTAATACACTAAATAGAAGAAAAAAGCAAGGGCTACAAATTTATTGGCATTTTGCGTCACCTAGCCACTGTGGCAACCGTGGCAACAAACAGCTTCAACGTTTTGTTCTACGTTGTTTTGTTGGAATCGTTGGAATCCACTGATCTCCATGTCAGTTTTATTGTCGTAAACTGTAACACCTAACCGTACTTTCGAAGTTCTAATAAATTTTAAATAGGGGTGTCGCGAACTTTTGTCGAACCAGATTTTTTGGTCGAACTTCCGGAGTTCGACTGAGTCGAACCGGTTCGACGAACCTTCGAACTTTTCACCAGATTCGAGTCATTCGACCGGTTCGACTTTATGGACAGTGTGGCCAGACCTTAATACAAGCATGTCTAGGTTTGGAGAATTTTTTTTTTATGCAAGAGGTTATTTTATTTTGTGAACAGCTGCAATTAAAAGAAACTAATTCTCATCACTAAAGAAGTTAATAACTTAATTTTTAGTACTGTATTGACTGAAATAGCCAATCAGCGCTGCACTTAATTCATCTCTTAGCCATTACCATCCAATCCGAAGCCAAGTGGCCAGCCTATCGCGCATGCGCACATGAGTCGAACCTCAATACAAGGTTCGTCGACTTTTCACTAAAAGTTCGAAAAAGTCGAACTTGGTCGAACTCGAACCGCGACCGGTTCGCGACACCCCTAATTTTAAATAGAAAAAAAAAAAGGAACAGTTGACGTTTTTGCTTCATGATTTCACCTGAATAACCTCAGTTCATACCGAGACAGGGGACACATCAAGGAGACACCCTAAGTGAAGCCAGGAAACAAACGAAAACTTTTGGCAGAATTTACCTCTATCCTAAAATTTACTTAAAAAAAAAAAAAAAGTAGAGCCCTTCCATTTCACGGGAAGATGGAGGACCAGCAAAGCTGTTATCTTTACGACGTCTAGGACGGTGCCTAGAGGACGACGTCAAGGACGACCTCGAGGACAATGTCTAGGACGACCTCGAGGACAATGTCTAGGGCGACCTCAAGGACGACTTCTAGGATGACGTCCAAAGCGACCTCAAGGACAATATCTAGCATAACCTCATGGACGACACCTAGAAAAATTTAGCTTGGCTGGAAAGGTTGCCGCCATCTGTGGGCGACGGTGGCAACCAGACAACCAGCAAGCCAGTTGTCTGCCTGCCCCCCTCGCTTATAGATGGCGGTAGCTGCCTGGAGTTTTGTATCGACATTTGTTTGTCCACGGACTTGACACTGGGGAAACTAGCCCTTAGCAGCTCCGCCATAAAAGACCTAGTGCGGAGCACAAGTTTGTCTGCTTCTTGCACGGGGGTTGCAATGATGTCAGAATGCCAAGCTCTTATTAGCCGATAGGAAAATAAATTGTGGGTAGACCTCAAGGCATCTGGCATCGAAGTCTACCCATATCCTTCCAATCAAAGCCAATCAGAGCTCAATGTTGTTCTGACATTACTGCAACCCCTGCACAAGTAGCAGACGACTTGATCTCTGCATAGGTACTCAGACATGCCCTTCCGCAGGAAACTTGCGATACTGAGACAGACTAGTGTATTCCCTGTAGACTTCCATACAATTCCCAACCTCTAGGGATTCATAGTCCTGTGATGCCACTTTAAGGTCGGTTCACATAGGGGCATTGGCTTGACTTCTTAGGTTATGTGAGGAGTCACCGCGACATTCATGTTTCATAGCAGGTGGAAAGCTACCCCCTTGAATGGGTTGCCTTACTTCATTCGAAGCATGGATATTCCGGTGATGACAGATTCGTTATGCATAAGTCACCGAAACATTTGCGTCTTAAACGTTGCGTGCCAGGCTACCTCATTGAATTGGTAGCCATGCTTAATATGAAGCGTCTATGTCCCGGTAACTTGTACATAAACTTTCATAATGGAACATAGCGCAAGAAAACAGGTCTGCGCGAACAAGCCTTTACTCTCCTGGTGCACCTACTGCAGAGGAAAAGTTGACAGATACATTCTCCAGAAGAAAAATGCTAACACTCAAAAGATGCTGTAGCCATCACCAAGGATGGTAAACGGTACACTGAGCACGAAAACACGCAGAGTTCAAACAACTCAACAACCAGATACCAAGGAAGAGAAAGGGATAAGACACACTAACATTGCTGTGCAAGTCATCCTCATTTTTTGTTTACAGTCTCAGGTTGTCATGACTATGAAAGGCCACCAACTCACCTGCATGTTCTCCACCATCCTACTCAGAGTTTGTGCGACTGCCCCAAGGCAGCACACAAACAAACTGACACTTAAGTCAGCACCAGCAGCCAAAAACAAAATTTACTTTTGCACTCCCGTCGCTCCAAGGACAAGGCACCAGAAGCCGGTTGGCGTTTTCTCCAAGCAGCAGAATTTATTCTCTTCATTCTTTCAGAAACAGGGTGTCAGTGGTTTCTCGGGAGGAGTTATGTACACGGGAGGGGGCCTCGCAGAGAGAGAGGGGGAAACTGGCAGCGCACGTCAAAACGGGGGCATGCCCTAGGAGAGTTTTTTGGCCTTGTGGTACAGCGAGTCCACCACCCTGCCCATGCTCTGAATGGTCTCCAGGGCGGCCTCGAAGGTCTTGTCCACGCTAGTCTTCTCGAAGATCACCAGCACGCCCGAACCTTGGTCCAGGATTCCTGCGTTGAACGGGCGCTTAGTAATGGCTCTGGCAGCAGGATGCATGCAGGTGGAAGTAGTCGGTAACATGTTAAGAGTTTGGGTAAATCTCCTCCTACCCCTTTCCACTTTAGCCGAGGGAAGGCTGAAGAGGAGGCGACCTCCTCTTCAGCATTCACTCTGCTAAAGTGGAAAAGGGAGGGAGGAGCTTCTCCCGAGTTCTTAACCTGTCACCGACTAAGTGTAGGGCTTTGTGGGTCTATTTAAGGCTGAATGTGTTTCGTGGGCCGGTTTTTATACGTAAATTGTCAAGAAGAACCGTCAGAAAGGACCGTCAGGAAAGAGCACCATGAACAAGAGTCATAGATGAAGATCGTAAACGAGCAACACGCTGGGAGCATTACACCATGTTCAGGTTATATATAAAGCTTTAAAAATAAGAATAAAACAAAAATGCATTAATAAAAATATGCATCATTTGTGTGGGACACTTTTTGTGCTCCTTGGTCTTTGTCAGCATGATCAAGTTTGTGCAATTCTTTGTTCCAATTCGGGGGGCTTGCGGTTACGTTTTCCCCCAAAGTATGTTTTACAGCGATGGCCATTAAAGGGACTTCCTGCTGTATATGTGCGGCGTCAGCGTTGTGACAGGCAGAAAAAAGTCTCGTACGGTTGGCAGGGGATGCTGCTACACATTCCTCACCTCAGAACTCCATTTGTGTGAACGATCAAATGTAAAGCAATCCACCACTTGTAATGGTACCTGCAATTTAGTCTTGGGCAGGGATGATGACTCGTGTGCAGTGTGTCCTTTCCTAGATACTTCGGTAGCCACAAGGCTGTTGTATTAGGTGCGATTGAGTAATTCAAGAGTGAGTATGCATTAAAGTGGGGTTACTGTGCACAACAACAGCTATTGCTGTCACTTCTTTGCCCACTGTGGCAAAAAGCTGCAGATTTATTCGGTGTTACAATTTCACTCTCGGACAAAAACTCTGCGGGGAAGGCACATTGTGACCCCGTCCACACAGAAGTTACGGAAGCGAGCATACGGCACGCACAGCCAACAAAGCCTGGTTTTGAGACATTTCCGGACTCTATGAGATGTTTAGCCCAAAGAATATGTCGACGTCAATAAACATGCCGTGGTGTGTGGTCCACTTCGGAGAGTGAAATTGTACAAGTGGTAAGGCCTAGGAGTGATTACGTTGCCTTTCGTGCATAGAAGCAGGGTGCTGCTGATGCGGAAACTCCTTGAGGCACCACTGAGTACTTTTTGGCATTTTCCTTGGCAAGGAAACAGTCGAAGGCGCCCGAAGAAATGTTTGCAATTTGCAGAGTATGCCTGTTAGCAGAGGCAATGCAAAAATCAATTCCTCCTGGGTAAACACAAAATAATATTTTTTTTAAATTTTAGTGTGAGGCACTTTACTTCATCTATGAATTTTTAATTATCAGGAGTTGAGTGTACACTGAAAAAAAGAAGAATTGGAGAAAATTCCAAAGTGTCCAGATCACTTTGATAGCAAGTTAAATATGCAGTAGAGACAAGTGAACTATGCAGCAGGAATCAATGAAACTTCGTGAAAACATTTTCTAAGATGTTGGTGAATCCAAACATAACATTTATCAAAATTAATGGCTTTTTTGTTTTTTAAATTATTTTTTGAGTCAAGCGATCAAACGGCTTTTGGCGGGGTCCTGCCAAGTCTGCAAAGAGGGTCTCACCATTGAATTTTTTATCCAGAATCATTTGAGAAAGCTTCTTCTCCACTTTTTCCTGCAACAGCAAAGAGGGAGAAGAATAGGATGAGGACCATTCTGAGTATCAACACTCTGCAACCTGAACTCAACATAAAGTTCTCTTAGTCACCAGAGGTTTTTGCTTTTTAATGTTGGCACCCATGCACATTATGTACAATTAGATCTTTAATAAGCAACCTGGCAACAACTGCGGGTAAATTTCACATACCGTAACCACCACACAGTAGTGCATGTAAGCAAGATCAGCCTCAGCTTACTAGCAGCTGCTTTGTAACTCGGCATTGACATATAGCACAACTTAAATGTAGCCTCGAGAGTGGGACCGTCCTGCCAAAATGGGACAATCATTGTCCCATTTTGGCAGGACGGTGCAGACCAGTGCAGAAATAAAACTGCACAAGGTTGTTGTTCGACTGACCTACACTTTCTGTACTTGTCTACACTCGCCGGACAAAACCTTTTAAATTTATAAAACTGCAGCCCCAAGCTCCAGATCAAAGAGTATTCTGGATCCTGTCATAAGGTGCACTGTGCTGGAGGCACTTCTTTTTTAGGTGTTTGAAAAGTGGGAGTACACTGCCCCACACTCTTCTGCACTAGCGTACGCCGAGGCAGGTAAAAAAAAAAAAGAAAAGAGCCCCTTATTGGCACCTTCTCCTCTACTCCAACAAGCTGATTCCTTAGACTAGAAGCTTTGGGAAGGGGCTGGTGTCAACCTTGCCAACAAGACTGCAGTAACTCCGTTTGAATTTGCGAGCGGCATTTTAGCTCCTACCGTAAAATACCGGGCAAGAGCCCACTCAAACTTTGGAGATAATCGCGAAAAAATGGGGATGGGCGCTTGGCCGGTCATAAACTTTACATATAAATGTACTGTGCGTATTTTCTCAGGCCTTACAAATTTGGGAATGGGCGCTTAATGTGGAATGGGCGAGTGTGCGGTATTCTATGGTAGGTGTAGTAATGCAAGTTGACTACAATTTACTCTTGTAATAGCATTGCAAATATCAAGCCACAAGTGACACAAACTGCACAGCAAATTCATCCATGAAAGTGCCATGCTGCAAAACAAGGGGACGAAAGGGATGTCCACATCCAAGGGTCTACCCGCTTATACTCTTTTTCATCTCAAGAAAAAGGTATGTTTTACGCATTGTTGATATGCCACACGAAGTACAGGGGTGGAAGCAAGCTTCAGCCTTTTGGAGCAGGTCTGGGAGCAGCAAAGATGCCCCTTTGGAGCAGCTTTGGAGCATCTCAGGAGCAACAAAAATCGAGTTTCGTAGCAGTATAAGCAAATTTGGAGCTGGTAACCCGAGTCAAACTCGGTGCTGTATTCGAAATACAAAAAGAAATATAAATAAAAATGCATCACCATGTGACGTTCCAGAATCATTTCCAAATTTCATACGTTCCAGCCCATAGCAAGAAAGTATTTGAACAACTATCACAGGAAACTGTCCTAGTGGTAGCGAGTTGGTTCCTCTCATGGATTTACAATATTAGGCATAGGCAACTAAAGAAAAACAACTTAAGCCTCATAAAACAAAGCATCTCTACTACGGTAGTTAACAACCTAAATTGCAAGTTCCATACGCTAAAAACAAAATCATTTCAAGCTGCAATATGAAATAAAGTCTAATACTGACTACCATTCATTATTAGGAAATGCAAACATTTCTAGTCCCTGTTTAGCAACCAAAAACATTGCAATACTCAACAGAGCACAAATCTGCTCCATCTGATAAAAGTACAAATGCAAAATATTGAAAACTTCATGATACCACCTATACCATTCCTGCTCATACATACATACTTAACTAACCCTCACTAAAACAAGAATCACTGACTAAAAAGGAACAAGAAAGCTTGTTTAGAAGTTTAATAAAAAAAAAATATTGACTGACAGAACTAGCAAATAAGACCATAAAACGGAAGGTTTTCCTTAAAGGGGCTGTGCAACAATTTCAGTGCTTTGCTTAAATAATTTGGGAGTTAATGTCTCGACCTTTCAGAAGCAAAGAACAAAAAACCGCTTTTGCCTGCATGCCCTAGTTTTTATTTTAAAAATGGACAAAGATTGAGGTTTTCGGCACTTCTGGACTCCTTCGCCATCTTCCGAGTCACGTGCGCTGTGACGTTAATGGGGTTTGTGCGGGGTTCCGGTGAAGCTCTCTCTCTAGAGCCAACAGTGTGCAGCGAGAACTCATTTGCTCACAACCGTGTGACCACGTGTTGGCGGGCGCAGCGCAAACAATATGGTGAAAGGAGGAAAGTCTCATCCGGGTCCGGCCACACCCGTCTGGCCCTGTCCCCCTTTGACTTCTGGCGGCTGTTCGCGGTTGCAGACAGAGCTGACGGTTTAGTGGACCTAGGATAGATGGCGCCACTAAAACTCCGTATAATAAAAGTTTTGTCAATGATACCAGGTTTTTGACGCATTTATATTCATGTTGGAATGACAAGATTTATAGAAAAGTTACCTTTTAACGAGCAGGTATTCGCACAACTTGCTATCTTTCCACAAGACACCTCCATTGACGTCACGCCGCGTGTTTCTTATGGCCGCCGCTCGCGGCCGCAGGTCGGCGAATATTCCAATCTTTGCCTCGCGATTAAGCGGCAAAATCGCAACCTTTCGAAGGAAGGAGGTGTGTTTTCTGTCCTATGTGACAAGGTGAACAATGTCAAAAGTAGAAAATGCCACTTCTTTCAATGTTAAAATCGCTGCACAGCTCCTTTAAGTCAGCGCAGAGCGCAAGTTCGTCTGCTTCTTGCGCCAGGGTTGTGTGACGTCAAAACGCCAAACTCTTTTTGGCTGATTAAAAAAAAACGGTGGGTATACCTCAAGGCCTCTAGCATTGAGGTCTACCCACTACCATTTCAATCAAAACCAATCGGAGCTCGGCGTCATTCTGAAGTCACCGCATCTCCTGTGCAAGAAGCAGACGACTTGCTCTTCGCACTGCTTGGATGCGCTCTAGCACAACGGTTTAGAATTTGTTTCGCTCAGCAGGACATTCCCACTGTTCTCCTTGTCCTCCTGCCGACTTGCTGTTTGGGTGCCAGCACGTGTATTCACCACGTATGTCCTTTACAAAAAAAACTTTACAGATGATTGAAGCAACCAATTATCGCTTTTATATGTTAAGTTTGCGACACGAATGAGGAACGCGGAAGCAGTCTCAGCAAAAGCACTCGCCCCAAACACGCAAAAATACAAATATATTATGCCAAATGTGTAATCTTATAGAGTAGTTATATTCTCCCCAGAAATTAGATGTAGGTGAACAAATGCCAGCAAGCTCTTATGCACATTTATATAACACAAGGTCCTGCAAGAATGCCCACCCAAGATGAAACGGTAAATGTGTGTGTGTGTGTGTGCACGCGTGCGTGCGTGCCAGGGGGGGGGGGGGGGGGGGGGGGGGGGGGGGACTACGAGCTATATGGAACAGGAACTCTTCAACTTCAAAGTTTCCCAACTTTTCCCTCACCACAGTCTCGGGTTTTAAACATCCTGATTAACTATCTCCAGCTAACCTGCGCACTCACTGTATTTTCATTACTGATACATATCGCAGACACGGCGAACTCGCGTGTGCAATAAGTATGTGGGAACTCACTATGAACTCCCCGGTCACAAGTGCGACAGCAGAACGCGGACACAGCGATTCGTGCTTCACAGTGCGATATAGACACAAGAACCCGGTCCCCTCAAACTCGGGTGTCACAGGAACAGATATCGCGTGCAAAAATCACAGACAAAAAAAAAAAGCGGGAACGAATTTGGAATTTGCATGTCATGGGAAGGGATACCCCGCATAGTATGGATGCTCCAGATCCACGTGTCACGGTGCAATAAGCACAAGACTTGTCGCGTACCGACACAGCAAATCACGCAATAAATGCAATTAAAAAAAAAAAAGAAGCGGGATGTATGATCTTTTGCGGAGGGCATTTGTACGAGACTTCATGGCGATTTAATGCGTGTGTGTGGTATTTCAAATACACTCAGTCATGCTTAATGCCACTGTGCAAAAAAAAAAAAAAAAAAAAGATTAGGTAAACGACGAAACGATGCATCGAGGCACTGTTTTGCGTTTGTCAGAGTTTTGAAGAGTACTCTGACAAAGCGACCTGTGCATGTGCCATTTTCGGAGATCAGACTTACACGGTGTCGACACGACATCGGTATGGCAGTTTCATAACAATAGGGACTTTTAGTAAACCGTGACCGCGCACTGCTGGAGCCTTTGAAGCATGCTTTTAAGCGCGCCCCGTGGTCACTGTATCACTCGGGCGCGCGCTTAAAAGCATGCTGCAAAGCCTCCGGTAGTGTGCGACGTGGTAATGGTTTGCTAAAAGTCCCTATTGGTTCAGAATTACCTAAACGAACACAACACAGTAAACCACTGTGGCCAATAAATAAAAATACTAAAAAAAATATCGCCTAAAAAAAAAAATTTTTTTTGGGGGTTAGTTTTGGCGCACCATGTGTGCCTGATAGCAGGATGGTGCAGCGAAAGTGGATTGGCACACAATGGCGCTATTGGCGCAGCGCTTCCACCTCAGGAAGTAGTCCTTACAAGACTTGGTTGACAAAGTTAAAAGCGATACTTAAGGCGTCTGAAGTGTGTACGTATTGAAAAGATAACATCTGTCTAATCTAAAATGTTCTTACATCTAACTTAGTTTTCTACATAAAGGGGGAAATTAATAATGACCTGTGAGGAGCCGGACTTTTTTTTTACTATGGTTCTTGAGGTGAAAACGAGGTAAAGTTGTCCCAACCAGAGAGAACTCTCGAAACAGGTGGACTTACCATGGGCAGCTTGATGGTGCTGGCAATGTGATCCACCTGAAACAATACCGGCTCATTAATACACATCCAATAGAGAAACACTAAAAAGGAACGTCAAACAGCATAGGAAATATAAATGAACAAAACGGTTAGTTTTAAGAATATTTTACAAAATTTTTAGTTTGGAGGAGGGGTTTGCTCGGGTGACTTGGCAGAAGATCTCGTGGCACCACGACCAAACGAGTCACTTAGCGCTACCCACCGTGTACGTGCAAATCACATCGGGGAACTACAAGTGTTCGAAGGGAGTGCGCACCTGGACCCTGGAGTAAGGCTCCACGATGCGGCACAGGTTTTGCTCCAACATGGTGTCGTACAGGGTGTCCAGGTGGGCCTGGATGATTGGGTCTTCCACAAGCTCCTTGTGGTATTCCTTCAGGGCCTGCAGTCAACCACACGGAAGTTAAGCGTAAAAACATGAGGTTTCAGACGGGGACAACGTTGCTGTATGCAGAGAATTAGCTCCACAACTCTGCCCCTAGGAACCAAGGGTTTCTCAGAGTACTCTCAGTGGCTCTAAAAGCATCCAAATCTTCTCAACTGCCTTTATCTCCCAAGCAATCAATCAAATTTGGGAGTTTTACGTGCCAAACCTACGACGGGCATCTGGCACGCCCCAGCGGAGGACTGAGGATTAATTTCGACCACCTGGGGATCTTTTGACGTGCAACCGAAAGCTCAGTTACACGGCGCCTTCTCCGCAATAAGCCTCCGTCATATCGTGGGCACCTCGGTCGAAATTCGAACCCGCCACCTGGGGATCCGTAGGCCGGCGCTCCCGCCTCGGAGTCACCGAGGCGGCTTATCTCCCAAGCAAGGTGTTGTCCCCAGTTTAAGTTTTTGAGATTGTCTATTCATGGTCATGGCTCAATCTATGAGCTCTAAGCATTCCAAAAATCCAAGATTAGATTGATGTGTGTTCCAACCTCCCTATTAAAAATGAAATCGAAGATTGCGGCACGCCCGTTTTCCTCCCATTCGGCGCAAAAAACGAGAAAGCGCCGTTGGACGAGCGACAACCAATAACGAGAGATTGCTTCCCGCGCAGAAAGGAGGCAAACCGACGGCGGACAGACTTTTAAATGTGTGCGATTGGCGCGCGGGAATCGATAGTTCGCAATTGGCTGTCGCACATTTGACGGCGCCCTCTGGTTTCTGCGCTGAATCGCAGAAAAACAGGAGTGTCGTAATCTTGGATATTCCGTTTTTAATAGTTAAATCAGACGCATATTAATGTAATCTTGGCTTTTTTAGAATTCTTAGAGCCTGTTTATTGAGTTATGATCTTAAATAGACCATCTCAAAAACCACTTTAGCACCCTTTTAAGCACAAATTTAGCATAGCAAAGTCATGTACCAATGCACTGCTATGAGCAATAAAGCTGTAAGATGAAACAGACTGCTCAGCCTCACGCACTGTGCTGCCGTGAGCACGATGGTACTTCCTTTCTTCTGGCTGCTGAATCCGTCCAACCAATTCACAGCTCTTCCAATTCTACAATCAACTTCTATGAATGTGGCAATTACATAGTGTGAATGCCATTTTACCAAAACAATTTTTTTAGTAGTGCCCCAGTGCCTGGTCAGAAAGTGGGAATGTAGGGTTTAAGGGAGGACACTACTTGGGAATGTTAACTTTTGAACGACTCGCTCAGTAGGCGTGAAATTGCAGGTTGTGTTTGTAGCCATATAGAAGGAGGGCATGCAAAGTTTCAGCCCACTGAACCAATCTTATGAGGTACTATACACCCAGCATGAAGTTAAGCAGAGCTTGGCATGGAATCTGCTCAATGAATCTAGCATTGAGAAATGGTGTTGATAACCACATATCTTTCTGGTGGAATGCATACTGAAATACCTAACGCAGGGGTGAGACAGGTGAAACAGGTTTTTGAGCAATTTTTGGAGCAGAAAATTCTGAATTTTGGAGCAGCTTAGGAGCACAAAACTCTCGTTTTGGAGCAGCAGTTTATGCAATTTGGAGCAACTTCAAAGCACAAAAGTCTACAGTTTGGAGCAGATTAAGAGCAGAAAATGTTAGAGCAGCTTATCAGCAATTTAAATCATAAAATAAATCTCATACAAATCACATAAATCAAATTTTTATTTTTTAATCATTATTTTTGTTCACCCTGGTTCCAGTAAGTCATCAGCACCGATAGGCACCAAAATAAAATATACAAGAAAAAAAAAACGGAAAAGGCAAACATGAGTTTTATGCGCATAGATGAGGACAGGAAACAGAGGCTTGCTGCAAAGTTAGGTGGGCACCAGGAGCCTCAAGCTTATACGACCAGGTCGTATAAGCTATCGGAGTTCGAACAAACGGTCGGCGACTGTACAGCAATTTTCAAAATCAATGTTTTTTCAGAAATGTTTTTGTTTCCATAGATAGTGTCTCCCTTAAAAAGGAAAAAAATCCTAATTAACGAAACTACATAGGAATAAAAAGGAGACGAGGTCAATTTAAAAATTCCCCACTGTTTCAATGGTTTGGTAAAAATTCCAGAAAGTGCTGCTTTCCAAATGACTACACTCGATTAAGAAGGTGCAACATTGCCACAGATTGCAGAGCCAACAACATTCAAAATAGCGCAAGCAAAGTAAAAATGACCACATCTCCACGTGGTGAATGATGTTGAAAGGGGCGAAGCACTGGTGGTGCTTGTCTGCGTAGATGCTGAGCCGCAGCATGCAGAGCCTTTCGTTCGTTTTCATCCATGGAACGTGGTTATATACGCACTTGAGCATTTGACCACAGCGCCCTCTTCTGTATAGACGTTGAGCGGCTACATGCAACGTTTCATCCATGACATTCCCAGCTCTTGAGTTACTACCACATCTCAGAGCCCCCTACTCGCCCCGCAATCGTGGCCGAGTGGTTAAGGCGATGGACTAGAAATCCATCGGGGTCTCCCCGCACAGGTTTGAATCCTGTCGACTGCGCAAACATTTTTTTTTTTAAGAAGACAGATGGGATGGCAATTAATGTGAGCACGGACGCCGGACAGACAAGGCTAGACTCTAAGGAGCTTCGCCCATAAAATTAAGCGCGTCTTGATCATAAAAGAATGAGTGATGAATAAGACCTCACAGGGTAACATGATGCCATGGTCATGCGACACTTTAAGGTCGGTGATAACAGGGTGTTACCTGATACCCAGAAGTCAAGCAAGGTAGCCCTATAAACTCTATTGCTCATATGAACTTGACCTGTGGACTGGTGAAGTGTAATGCGTAAGAGAAAAGGCTTGCCTGCTCAAAGTCGGCAAGAGACCGCCTGTGGCTTGCCCTGGCCACGCTCTTCATGGCCTCCAGCTGAGGTCCCGCATGGCGCAGCGCCAGCTTGCCCACCACCAGGGACTGCACCTCCTCCGGCAGGTTGAGCATGATCTTTGACAGGAGCATGTACTTGAGGGCAATCAGGGCCTGCAACGTGCACGGGCACACTTCAACATATTGAATCAATACGTGGCTTGCACGTCGTGTCGTCGCACCACTCTTTCTTAACAGAAAACAAATTCGGCGGTGCTGAGTGTGCGCTGGAGAGGGTTTATGTGCTCGGCGGCAAAGCCACCACAATGGCGGCCGGTACGACATTTTTGTAAGCCACGGATGGCACAGCGGCTGGAGGGGGTTCCGTCGGACGTTGTGCGAATTTGATGGGGCGGGTGATATTGGGGCAATTTTCCACCACAGATGAATTAGGTAGGCAGAAAAATTTGGACGGACTATCTTTCGAGGCCGGGTATTCATTCTCAATTTTCCCATAAGTGATTTACCCGACAGCAAGATCTGAATGAACTTTTTTTTGAAAACTAGTCCGTGTATATAGAAACCGCCATCTGTTCCTTCCTTTACGAATAAGAAATGGTTATTTCAAGCCCTAGCTATAGTCCGTTGGAACTCAAGCAGGTAGGGCAAGGGAAAGGAAGGCCAGGGAGGAGGAAGTTGACAGAACGCTGGAGAGAAGAGAGAGAAAATTCCTCCTCTCCAACATTCAGTCTGCTTCCTTCTCCCCGGCCTTCTGTTCCCTCGCCCAAACTTCTAGAGCTGCAAAGGACTATAGTCGAGGTGCAAAAACCATTTTATGGCGATTAGAACCTCACATGCCTTTATCAAGTGTTACAGGTAGATCAGAATTTTGCAAAAAAAGGTAAAGTTGTGGTACGTTTGCACTGCTGAACAGGTATGTGAGCTACCCGTATATCGCGTCACTGTAGATAAATGAGCGCAAGGTCACGTGAAAACTGTGGGCATTGTACACATGCAGAAGACGACTGTTTTTTGTCATAAGCGCGAGTGAAGCTGGACCAAAAAGTGCAAGCATGCTGCCCTGAACTACACTTGCACTGCACAAGCGCACATGTTCGGCTGGCCCACTCAAACCACCGAGCTCATTCTTGTAGCTTCCGTCATGCTCCAACTTAAAGCGACAGGAGTGGGGGTTCCAGTGCTCGCAATTTGGCTGTGAAATGTTGGAAAAGTACTATCGCCATGAAGTGTGATGTAAAAAGTATAAGTCTGTGTATATAAGCCCTAGGCAGTGGGCAGGAGGTGGTTTGGACAGCTTTTATACTTTCATTCACTTTATGACAGACCACAACAGACACTGTGCTCCATCGGAGCCAATCAAATGCCACGTGAACGTCATGTGACTTTTGAGGGGTGCAGCAACGCATGGGGCAAGTAGTCACGTGATATGTTCAGCAATGAATCCACTGGGTACTTTCCACTCTAAGGTGAGACATGGTAGGCAGAATGGTAGTCATGGTCAGTGCGGCTGTTGGCCAAAAAGGGCAATTTTGGCACGCTGAATCGCAGAACAAATGAACACGAGCACTGCGCCCGAATTCGGCAGGGCACCATCGAGATTCGAGCTCGAGATTGGGTTCAATGATTGCAGCTGCTGGCCGTCTCGGAGTTGCAAATATATCGCGCAATATGGCACCACCTGTCAAGCCAAACTGCCAAGATTTACGACCCCCACCTTCAACACATAATCTCGCCTTAGCACCCCATCCAAGCCCCATTGCAGCCAGATAAGATGATTAGTCAAGCTCTCTTGGTCTTTCTTTCCCCTATACTACTACTACTATTGCCTGGTTGGTACAGCACTGCAAAAGCTTGCGCAGCAAGTATTCATAAAAATAACAGCACTGCAGTAAGAACAAGGAGGGAACCAAAATTGGAGCCCATCTTGGGGTGGTCTATAGCATCGTATCACATGATAGACAATTTTGGGGGGAACAGACGCGTGTCCACATTAAGGAGACAAGACTGTAACGCAAAAAAAACTTTAAAGCAAGAGAAAGAACAAAGAGGGAACCCAGGTCGGAGCTCACCTTGGGGTGGTCTATAGAGTCGTAGCACTCGAAGGCCTCGTAGAAGTAGGAAAAGGCGGTCTTAAAGTCGCGCTCGTCGGCGGCATGCAGCACCCCGCTCTGGAGGTCCAGGGCCGCCTGCAGCTTGGGCGGGCAGTAGATGGCATTGGCTGTGGTGCGGGCCGAGGTCAGGGCCGCTCGGGCCTTGGGCAGGTTGCTCAGGGCGTGGTACGTCTTGCTCTCCAGCAGCTGCACCTCCACCAGCAGGTTCTTGTCATCCAGCTTCTTCAGCTCCTTCAGCAGGGTGCTCCCTGTGCGAGAAAGCGCCACTGCATCCCAGTCTATGCCCACTGCACCCCCCCCTGCGAGGGAGAACCGACAACTCCCAGATCGGATGTCCTAAAGGCCGGTTCGCACACCTGCTTCCTCCTTACGACCGTGTGCCTTAATGCCTCTTGGGACCTCTTACGACAAGAGGAGGCGTCGGCACCACCTATTGGGTAGCCGTGGAGTGCTCGGGATTTCCCTACATTTCCCGTTTCTTTTGCGCCATCACCCTTTCACCGTTGACTCGAAAAACTTTTGACAATGTTAGAAATGACCAGTTCTCGTAGATAGTGCAAAAATATTGTGTGGCACGCAAAACACATTGAGACGTCTTGTGTAATGTCCCCTTCTTCGTCCGTCGTCTCCGGTTTTCGAAAACGTGGCACAAGGACCAAGGTGGAAGAAATAGACGAGACATGCGCTCGTCCCGGCTACTTGTTCTACTTTGCGGGCTACATATTATTTTCTTTCGTCACGAGCCAACTAGCCCCGCATCGCCACTTTACCCATTCGTGTTACTGCAAAAACCTTTGCTCTAGTGAAATGCAGTTACAGACCAACTCATAGATGGTGCCAGCGTGTTAGATTGCAAGAACTCCGTCGTAAGAAAACGCAAGCATGTCAACCAGCCTTTGAGCTTTCAGTTCTCGAGGAACCCCTCTCAGTTTTCAGGTCAGTGCAGTAAAGTAGGCGTGAAGTCTACAGACCTTGTAAACAAAGCACATGCCAGGCAGTGTTTGGCTCGTAGCTGCGCATCAATGGGTGGCTCGGATCCGCTAAAGTAGTGCACGAAGCGGCAGGGACGCCCGACAAAATTTGGGAGCTTGAGGAACACATCTAGGTACTTCAGGGAACCACGGGATTTCAGGGACGTCCATGGGGTTGAAGGGACCCCCACAGGGTTTCTAGGGACCCATGGGTACCTCTATTTGACAGCCCACGTTTTAGATAATGATGCCGTAACACTATCTTTTGCAATGCCTACTGCGCGGGGCGCAGGTCGGACACGAGCAGTGCATCAAGGGCTATCGGTGACCGAGACCACAAGCGACTGTGGCCCTTAGCGTTTTCTTATCACACGGGGCTCAGGAAGCAGACATTGATTATACTTGGGATTATGTGTTTTCGGAGCCTATTTGTCGTCAAATTCGGAGGGTGTTTTTCCAAGCTAATTTTTTGCTCAAAATACATGGTTTATCTAAGTTAATATGTGTTAGATTCCCAATTTTTTTAAATTCGTGATTTATTTCCCTGCATTCCCAAATTTTAAAAATTCAAAAGCAAAATAAGTAAAGTTTGGGTACCATGAGCCGCTGTCCCGAAAGAACCTTGATGAGCCAAAAGGCAAACACCTATTGTCAGTAGTTCGCGATTCCAAAGGAAACTGAAGTGGCATCCCCTCAAGATCACAACCTTGTGCTATTGCGAAATTTATTTGTAGAACACTGTCTTTATTGCTTTTTATTTCATCATTGCGACTTCAAAATTCTGTTTTTCTAATCCTGCCTGGTGCTAACTCTACTTCTGAATGGTGCGACATGTGAAACATAAAATTAAATACTGCCAAATGCAAATACATGAGGGTCTCCTGTCGTAAAACGTCAGGTCCCATTTACTTCACTGATAAGATTCCTCTTTAATGTGTGTCTTCTTAAGTTCCCAAGAGTACATATAACTTGTGATTCGTCCTAGAAAACTCATGCAGAATATGTCGTTAACAATGCTAATCAAATACTTGGCAACCTTAAAGGAATACTACTTCAACGAAATTTGAAATATACCCGTCGTGTACAAAAATAATTTGAATATGATCTACAATATCCATAAATGACAATCGCACGTTTGTATTTTGACCCTGGTGGCTGTATTTTTCATTATAAACGGTCGACTCTGGCAAGCGCTTGGAGAACAGCCAACGGAGACCACGTGACATCCAACGCAATCATGACGTAGTTCGTCTCGAGACGAGCAAAGCTACGGCAAGGCTGACGTCGAGAGGATGGCCTAGACGTTTCAGCTACCGAAGCGGTTGCTTTTGTACAAATTTGAGTGACGGGTAATCTTCTATAATCTTGTAGGGGGACAATAGCGACTTCTGGATCACAGAAAAGGGATTCTCGGGGAAGGGGGAGTTCCTCCTTCCCTTCTTCTCTCGTCGTGGCCGGAGGCGAGAAAGTTACCGTCACTACCTCTCAAGGCGCCTAGACGGGTATTACAATCGAGGTGTTAGCGACATCCACCAGGTGCTCTTTGCTAATCGTTTAATTTGTTTTAAAATTCCTTTTCGCGACTTTTTTTATCGAGATATTGGGTGTGTTCGATGTGATACTGCTCCTTTGAACAAATATACACCAAAAAATAAGCGCCGAAATTTTGTTTCTCTTTAAGAAACACGTTTTTCTCGCACATACGACGTTGAAACTACTCCTGTGCAAAACCCTTGTTCTCAGTAAGCTGGAATATGCCGCATCTATCTGAGACGCTGGTGTCGACTCACTCATTTTAGAATTTGAATCCGTTCAGAATTGTGTATCCCACTTCATTCTTTCTAGCTACCACCGTACCACCAGCATAACTGCAATGAAAGTTCCACACATGCTTGTTCCATCAAATATATCATTACAACTCATCTCTCAAGCAAAGGTTACTAACACAACCCCATTGCCTATCAGCATGCAACAATCAAAGATACAAAGTTGGCACTCTATCATGCAAGACAAACACATATTTTATTCACATTCCCATGCCTGTTGCCGAAAGTATTGACATTAACAGTTTTAGAAATGCCACGATTATGTATTAAACTGTATTGCTTCAATGAGCAGCTACATTAGTTCTACATGCTGCCGCATACCTTTTCTAAGTATTTTTTTTTAAAAAAACCCACTACCCTCTGACTGAATTGACTGAAAATTTACCGGGAAGTGTTCTTTAGATTTGTTTGGATTTATCCAGAAACACAGAGCCCTAATTATAATCCGTTTCATTTTATGATGAACTGTAGAGGATGCTACAAGCCACTGAAGCCAATCCAATGCCGTGCGAGTGTCGCATGACATTTGGGAGGGGCACAGCAATGCAGGGGTCGCATAGTCACAAGATACATTCACGGTGCTGAATTGGCTCAAATGGTTCGTAGCATCCGCTGCAGTCCATTCTAAGAGGAAACAAAGTGTGGAAACTACAACGGACGCAACGCTTGTTGTCTGTTGCCCGCTACACACGACGTGTACGAGAAACGCTTCTGCTACCAGCCGTGCCGCAGGACCAGTGTTTTATTGCATGCTTCCAATAAACATACGTAATGTCGTAACATGGCATTACTGCTTTACGTGAAATTCAATTGTGTTTTCTACCCAGTTATGTTTCGTGACATGATTTGCGACATCGAGACGGCTACTAAAGTACCCTGTCCCAACTGCAATGCAGCCTGCCTGGCTTACATGAGGCTGACTGGTCTCAGCAGCAGCACCAATTTTTACGACACGAAAATGAGTGCGGTTGCATCGCACCCCGGTACACAAACTTGGAACGGTACGACCAAAAGAAAAACAAGTGTCGACTCACCGAGAGCAAGTGCTTCCGTATAGCGACCGGTGTCGTAGTTCAGAGCGATGAGCCTCGCCTGCCAAAAGTAAATCAGGGCTTAGGGCAACACGGCTGTGCCGTCTAACTCTCGCGAATCAAACTGACAAGCCTCCGAAGTGTCAGTAACAACACACTTTTTTCGTTGTACATAGGAAAATTAGCATAGCACACCTTAGCACTAAAGTACTTGCAATGAGATCTGCTCAATCCAGACCTTTGTACAGCTTGTGATATACACACCAAATTTCCTGCACTATACCTAAGATTACAAAGGGGTTTAGAAACAAATGTAAATTCAGAAGAAAAGCATGCAGTTTATGGTTTATACTTGTAACAAAGGCAGTTTGAAAGAGCACTGTGGAACACTGCGGTACAAAAATAACAGACACGAGAGTTTGCTTACAATTTTTTCCTATAGACCGACACGCGGAGCAGCTCTGTTTACCAACACGTCCAGACGGCCGCGCATGCGCGGTAGCTATGCGGGCAAAAGCGACCCGGTTCTCTGTGGTTTTGCCATTGCGTTGTGTGGCGTGTGCTCGTTGTTGACGTTGTAGGGACGCTTCTAGCTTTATTTGCGAGTCGTATTTCCTGGCAACGTATGTCGTATGCTATGCCCGACTAATTGAGCTCGCTACCCAAGACTGAACGGCGGCGGCATCGAAAGAAACTGTGCGTGGACAGCGTCGCCTACGAGGATCCGTACGCCGTTAACAAGGCCTGCTGGACTTCCGACGTGAAGGTGCTGCCACCGAAGTCGACGGTGCACGTCGTCGTTTATTTAGTTCTTTCGCCCGCCAGTTCACGGCCGACACGGAGCAGGCGTACAAGTCTCTCGAGGCCTACGATTACTTCGAGTCGGTTTCCGCACTGTCGGCGGGATCAGCAAACTGTGGGTCTGCGGAAGTGTATTTATTAATTTAATAAATACACACAGCGTCTTCAAGTCAAGGTATGCTATTTTTTCTACTCTCACGACCACAAGGCATGACAACCAATAACGCTTTGTCCGTTCTGCAGTCTTGGCGGTAACACGTTACAAGTAACGGCGTTACCAGGAACGCATTACTTTTTTCAGCAACGTAGTAACCTACTCGTTACTTTTTCGACACAGTAACGAGTAACATACTTACGTTACTATTTGAAGTAACATAGTTACGTTACTCGTTACTACAATTACACTTCAATTTTTTCTGTGTGTTAGGTGTCAACCACTGTTTTTCTTTGCGTCTTCCCTCGTGAGTATTTAGGTGAAACCGTAAAAAGATATAAAGTAATTATGTCCAGTTTCTGCATGAACATAATGTTTCTTGATATATGAGCTTATGCATACCTGTATCGTCAAAACAGTAAGACGTGTTACATCATAATTTAAAAGGTAACGCAGAAGTAATGTGCGTTACTTTTTATCGGTAGCGATAACGCGTTCCTTTTGTTTTTAGGCAACGTAGCTCAGTAACGCATACCTTTGATTTGCAAGTAACGAGTAACGTATTTCGTTACTTTTTTTTGGTAACGCCTACAACACTGCTGTTCTGTCGCCAATCCCCTTCTGCTGGGTAGCACGGGTGTAGCGAGCCTCCGACGAGCGCTTGGCCGGTGCTTTGTGCGCGAACACCGTGGGAACAAAATCCGGGTGGTCTCGATCCGACGACGGTTTTCCCGCACATAAGCAAGCCTCGGGACAGAGATTGAAATGGAAGCTGCACTTGCCTCCAAGAAAGTGCTTCCCGCACAAACAGTCGTTCGCGCGAGGCGACCATAATTTTCGATCCACGGATATTATCCACCTTCTATGCCTTTCAGAGTCTGTTGGGAGCTTGTAGAAGCTCACTCCGCTACTTTTCTTGTACTTTTCGGTGAGATTAACGGCCACACAGCTTCGCGGCATGCTGAAATGCTATGACGCCCATGCGAAACGTGCGCCCTTTTGCCCACACCCCCGGCTCCGGCGCGATCGCAGCGCCGTGACGTCAAGCCCGCGTGTCGGTCTATAGCCAACTCAAAGGCTTCGCACATTTCACAAGGCATACACCCATAATTCCGTTCTTTTCCACACACAATATGCAAGAATTCAAGGCCGACCCATCACTCCCTGGCGAAACATGCCCATCGGTGCCCCGTCAAACCACGCAGCCATCTGAATGGTGGTAATTCACCAGCAAATCACAGTCCCGCAAAAACTTAATTTTTTTACTGGCTTCAAGGCAGCTGAAAACATCCAATCAGAAAGCCAGATTTTCAGATCTCCGTTGAGAGCACATGCTATGGGGTGTGGAACTCTGGGATGACGCGACGACTGTAGTGCCCACAATGGCTGAAAGAGGTAAAGCGCCCTGCATGGCTGGGCTTGGTTGCAACTGCGAGCCAACAAAGCTCGGTGGGCAAACCCGCCACCGGAGGGTAGAGTACCCACCTCCAGGGATTGCCGTAGAAACGTCCGCTTCTCCTGCTGGGCCCAGTCGATGCACTCCTTGCAGAGCTCCACCTGCACAGTCAGAAACTTGCCGAGTGCTCCTCGGGCAGACCCCTACCGTGGCACACCACAGCCCAGAAATATATTTCAAAGGGGGGGGGGCTGACCTTGGAATTTTGCCTCAGCGTACGCTACTACTGCCACAAGGAAAGCTGTATCGAAACACTCATTTCATTCACAGGCTTATAAATGGTCACGGGCCATTACTGGACATTAACCACAGATAGGTAACTGACGGAAGTCTTTGTACAAAGCGTAAACTTGGAGGTATTGTGAAATTACTAAGAAGCCCTAAATGAAAGCAAAATTGCTTTCCACCAGTTTTGGCAGTCTCAATTGTGCTAAACAAAAAAATAAATAAACTTGCTGCACACATCACTATGGCCTGTTAACAGACTGCGAGGGCTAACAAAATAGCTCTATACACCCAAAATGGAGGTAAAAAAAAAAAGCAATCATTTTTTTATTTTGTTTTTTATTTTTAGGGATTTTTCTTTTTGTTGCCAAATGAGTCAATAATTCTAACTGACTACAGTGCTTCGAACAAGTCTCTGGGTTGCGTTTTACGGCTTCTTGATATTGCCCATTGATCTCAACTTCGCGACATCCCTAACTAGGGATGCGACGGACGCATGTGCTGCTGTAAACAGCTCCCCATTGAAACAATTGAGAGAAGCTATGAATTCGGCTGCCATGATGGCAGCAATGCCCGCTCGCCTGCCATGTCGTCGCTTCTACAACAAACCTCCAGGGATGCAACAACTTACGACTTTCCTTGGCAGTTATAAACACGTTTTGTTGCCACGGCAGCAGGGCTACGTTCCAAATGGAGTGCAGCGCCTAATCAAAGTTGACACGAATAACACAAACACTGGGTTGCCGCCGGCACCGTGTTCAAAAAGTCGACAGTAAACCAGGCAGCCATGTATTGGACTGCCACCATGCCAGCGATACCCATATGTCCATTATGATGTCACTTCTACAATCAACAACTAAGAACGCAACAATTTGCTACGTTGCTCAGCAGCTTGGGTCGCACACTTTGCTGTTGTTGCAGCAGAAACATTCTTCGGAAACGCTAAAGTAACAAATAAAAGCCGACACGACACTGGTTTATTGCCGTATTACAAGAGACGAAAACGGTCCTCAGACAACAATGAGCGTGGCCTCACCTCCATCCCTGTGGCGGCCTCCATGTCGAGGAACATGTCCACCAGGGCCCGCACCAGCTTGGCCGCCTTGGCTTTGCTGATCAGGTTCAGGAAGGGACGTGTCGACTTGATCAGGCTGCCCAGCTCTGCACACGGGCAGCAGACCCAACACCCAGCTCAAACATCCCCAAGCAAAACGTGGATGCAATGAAGTGAGGGCACTGTTCCCACACTGCCAATGGCTTATAACTAGTAATACTATTAAAAAGACTGGCTAGGTGGCACAGGTAACAAGCCGACTTCAAGTGTTTAACCGTATGCATCTATCTATCCATCCGTCCATTTAACAGCTTGGACAACCATCCATTAAAAAGATAAACGAGTTCCCCACTGCCAGTTGCCTTTTCATAGACTGTAATGCCAACCAAAATAATAAAACGAAGCTTAAACAGCCTTTGAGGCCCCTAAGCCACAGAAATAAATTTCCAACAATCCTTGCTGGTTTCTCGCGATATGTTGCTTCAAAAAAGCCCCCTTTGGTACTTCACTTAGCTATAGACCGACACGCTGTTTACAAACAAGCCCGCCTTTGCCGACACCAGGTGTGGGCACTGCGCGTGCACAGAAACCGAACTTGGGAGGAGTGAAGCGTCTGCGCTTGTGCTGTGCAGAGCCGTATATGGGGAGAGTTTGGTCAGTCTATGTTCTCGCCGCCGTAACGCTCTCCTTCCGAGCGAGCCAATCAGCATGCGGCGTAGAGCGAGAGGCATGAGCGCATGCGCGTGAACTCCCGGCTGCTCCCACCTGAGTGGGGAGGGCCGCCATCTTCGATCATTCTACCGGCAAAATGCGTGGGATAGGCATCTAAATCTCGATTATTACCTTTTATATCGCTGGCTCTGGCAAGAAAATGACATTCTGTTATTTCTCGGTGGGTTGAAAAGCTAATAAATGAGGATTTTTTGGCGTTTGGCCACAAACCTTTATATTCAGGCGAAAAAGAAGTCGACCCGTAGCAGACGACGCGTAGCCTCAGCAGTGCTCTTCACCGACCAGCCTCCGACAGCGTTGCTAAAAAATGGCAGTCGTCTCCTCTCTGCTCTCTTCTTTCTCTCTCGCTCCTTTGGCGCTCTCCTCCCTTTCATTTACTTTTCTCCTCTCCGGCACCTTCGTCGCCACACCCACTGGCCAAACTCTCCCAATATACGGCTCTGGTGCTGTGCTGCCAAGAGCGCCACCACAGCTTTATGACGTCAGGGCCGCGTGTTGGTCCATACTTCTATGCAAAGTTGACCTCGCATTCCAGTCACAAGGTAGCAAACCAGCACATCAATGCAGGTTAACATCCGTATCTTTCTCTCTTTTCTTAATTAACTACCTAGCTCACTCAGGGTGCAATGGACAAATTCTTATGTGCAAACAAGGTCCGCTTTCAGACTAGAAAACCGCAACCTTGTGACACAAACACATGCGGTCGGTTCTCACCTTTCGCCTTGCCCTCTTTGCTAAGCTGCTGTCCCACCTCCAGTATGTTTTGAACCTTTGTCTGGATGTCATCTTCGTTGTCGATCGATTCCTCCAAAGCCGCTGGAAAAGGGGGGCCATCACAAAACATGTCTCAAACCTTAGTGCTTCGTTTGCAATCAAGGAGGTTAGACTAGAATTCAACACGCCAAACTTTCCACAAAAAAAAAAAAAGTGTGGCGAGGTGATTATGGAAAAGAGGAACTTCCCCAAACTAGTCGACAAACTTGTGGCAAAACATTTTGACTCATACAAGACCGAGAAGAACCAAATAAGAGGAAACATTGTAGAAACGAGAGTAAATGGCGGGTTATACAGCGAAAAATACATGGTAACATGAAAGATCCCACACACCTTGACAGGGAACATGTCAGCCACGTTTTTATCACGGGCGTATGTCCTCAACATTGCTGGTGCAAGTGCGACATTTCCCATGCACATGTTTTGTCGTACGAGATGCTCCATAAGGTCAGATTCACACCAGCGGCCTTGACAGCATTGTATACTATGCATGAAATGCAGTTTATATTCGCTACACTTATCGCACAAAAAACTTTATATTTCCTTTTTTTCGCATGCAGCACCACTCCAATAACTCCAGTGCTACTACGAGGTGTAAAAAAAGAACAACAAATTAATGAATATATGACCGCCTTTGTTTCAAATAGTAAATCAGTAACAGCGTAGTAAGCAGGATGTGCTTATTATACGACCCATCTGAAACGAAATTAACTGTTTCACTGCGATTCAGCCCAGAAGATAAGTCGAAAAATGTTTCATATTTGCCGTGTCATGCCCGATGGACAGACGATTGCGAAATCATAACCATAACGCAGGTCCTTTGTAACGAAAGCCACTGGGAGTGGCGATATTACTACCTACTTGCAGTCACTTCTCATTGCAGATATAATCTGAACAAAACCAGTCAGTGGGCTCCAAAACAAAGCGTAATAATATGTTGTTTTTTTCTCTCGAGTAAACGCGATAAGAGACGCGTCTGAATAGCTAATATTAAAGGGTAAATAAACCGGAGGACAGAAGAGAGAATGCGCGTCATTCTACACTTCCGTTGGTGACCTGTGAGCAGCTTGAAAAAGTGCGAAAAGCACGCCAACGAAAATGCTCGGGCGATCGAGCCGTGATACGACACCACTTTTGCAGCCGGGCCGTGATGAGGTAATCGCTTTACCACTTCGGACCGCGCCGTTTCGCGGTCCCGAAACACGCAGAAAAACATATAAAACCACCGTACCCAACTAAATTTTCCTCTAAAACACCAAAGGTTAATTTAGAAAGAGCGGAACATCGCCAGACACGAACTCACAGGGCTGTTCGCTGCGGGACATACCGCACCACAGAAAAGAGCAATTCATGCTAGGCCCGAAGCGCTTGGAATGCGTTGACTGCAAGCAGACGACCCTGCCAAACCATGCATTTTGTTCCTGAACGACCCCGGAGTCCCCAAATATGTACTGAGCCGTCCCAATTCACCATCCGGCGCGTAGTAACTCCGCTAGCAGCGATCGGCTCTCGGACTCGTGCGACGGGCGACCCGCCAGCGGAGAAACAGCAGCGCTAGGCCTAGCAACCTATCGTTTCGCCACAATTGTACCTACCTGAATTAAGCTCGAACAAAATGGCCATAAATCCGATAGCCTCCGCGAAGTTGCGAGAATTAGTTACACTCACCTGGGTTCTTCAAAAGGGGCGGCTCTTTCTGTTTGTCTAAATTTAACATGACCCGAGACCTCTCAACTACTGCAGCAGCGGCCATATTGGCGATACAAAACGACAAAACTCTCGCGAAAGTTCATCCGCAAGTCACGGTAGCGAAATGTGCGACGCCAGCGCCGCCAGGTTTGGCCGACTTGGAAAAGTGGTGCTGCCATCTAACGGTGGCGCCAAATGCGCAGGAAACTGGAAAGTACGCAAAACGAAACACGGTTATTTCTACTTACTGGTTTCCTCCAACTACAAATTCTAAGGTGTGAACATGTCGGCAAAGTTGTGGCCCACGTCCAACTGGCACTGGACGCCAGTATTTCATCACGATGGTTCTTTAGAACGAGCAACAACTTTTGGAAACTTTCAGCACAAGTTCGGCGGGATTATCCAAACAACTGACCTCAACGTATTCACATTTTATGATCGCTCTCACCGCAGAAATCAAACGCGCGAAAGCGGACGGAAACAGCAAACTCGAGATTAACATTCACAAAGGTATCAAAGTTTAAAATAATTTTAATATTAAATAACAAGTTTATGTAAACAAGCTCATGAAACTGCAATATATTTTTTTTTTCTTTCACGTATCATGACCGGAAAACAAACAAACCTTTATTTTAAACTCTTCCTCTTTTTCTTCCCCTTCCCTCTCTCTCTCTCTCTCTCTCTCTCTCTCTCTCTCTCTCTCATTTTTTGTAATACCGGGTTTTTGGTTGAACTGCAAAAACTTATAGCATCCTCGATCATCCGCACCGGTGCGCACCGGGGCACTGAGGTGCGCCCCTTCATCTTCGATCAAGTGCACCGGTGCGCACCAGACATCCTCGATCAACGAAGCGCACCCTCCCGGTGCGGCTTTTCGTTGCCCCAACGCGCACCAAGAAAATCGGCGGTGCGCCGGGGGGGCAGTCCCATCAGGCATTGCGGCCAGGAGCGGGAATCGAGAAGATGGCAGGAGTAGCAGACGCGCAGACTACCGAGATGGCGATCTTGCAAAAACGAACACGCCTCGCAGCTGCACTAGATGATTTCCTCGGGTCTTCTGACGGCGAGACGACGAGCTTCTCACCATCGCCGCGATTACTGGCGATTGCTGCGGTGGCAAGGAGCGCCTGAAAAGCACGAACTTCGTGGAAAGCGGCGCGAGGCGTTTCGATGACAGCGAGGTACGGCTATTATCTGGTGTTTCGTTTTCTTGAACTAATAATGATGGCCAACATATACATGTGGAATTGTCACCCGCTTCTTTACCCCATCGGCAATCACGTCCACGATGTTTATTTCTGTGGGACCGTCAAATCCGCGAGTAAAAGAATAGAAGAAATTGACAGCAGACGGGCACCGTGCGCTGACCTGCGCAAGAAAAAACGAACAAAACGTGAAGTGACGCAAGGTGGAGCTCGCCGCGGTGCACCGGCGCGGCGCAGTTTGTCCTCGATGTTGCACCGACATCGCGCTGCACGACCGAGGAGCGCTGTGCACTGTGCTGGTTTCAGGGCGATTCCGGTGCGAGTTGATCGAAGATGCTATTATAGCATCCTCGATCATCCGCACCGGTGCGCACCGGGGCACTGAGGTGCGCCCCTTCATCTTCGATCAAGTTCACCGGTGCGCACCGTACGTCCTCGATCAACGAAGCGCACCCTCCCGGTGCGGCTTTTCGTTGCCCTAACGCGCACCAAGAAAATCGGCGGTACGCCGGGGGGCAGTCCCATCAGGCATTGCGGCCAGGAGCGGGAATCGAGAAGATGGCGGGAGTAGCAGACGCGGAGACTATCGAGGCGGCGACGCGGCGATCTTGCAAAAACGAGCACGCCTCGCAGCTGTACGAGATGATTTCCTCGGGTCTTCTGACGGCGAGACGACGAGCTTCTCACCATTGCCGCGATTACTGGCGATTGCTGCGGTGGCAAGGAGCGCCCGAAAAGCACGAACTTCGTGGAAAGCGGCGCGAGGCGTTTCGATGACAGCGAGGTACGGCTATTATATCTGGTGTTTCGTTTTCTTGGAACTGATAATGATGGCCAACATATACATGTGGAATTGTCACCCGCTTCGTGACTCCATCAACAATCACATCCACGATGTTTATTTCTGTGGGACCGTCAAATCCGCGAGTAAAAAAATAGAAGAAATTGACAGCAGACGGGCACCGTGCGCTGACCTACGCAAAATAAACGAACAAAACGCGAAGTGACGCAAGGTGGAGCTCGCCGCGGTGCACCGGCGCGGCGCAGTTTGTCCTCGATGTTGCACCGACATCGCGCTGCACGACCGAGGAGCGCTGTGCACTGTGTTGGTTTCAGGGCGATTCCGGTGCGAGTTGATCGAAGATGCTATTAACATTTTCCAGAAATATAGTAGTCTTTTTGCACTCCTTGATTTATGAAGAATTAAACCTTGAAAAAAGTATTCACGTTCAAGTCCTGGATCCAAAGATATTGCAAGCAAAACTTTGTGCTAAAAGAAAAAAAAAAAAAAAAAAACCTTGCTTTATTTGCATTCTTTTTTTCTTTCTTTTTTTAGAAGGCAGTGAACTGGTTTACTATAATTTTAAAGGGGTGTCAGAACGCGGAGAGCCGAGATTACCCACTGATCGGCGATTTTTCGAAAGGCTTCGTGTCAAAGGAATTATATATATATATAATACCGTTTGGATGGGACGCACCTCTTTTCCACTTGTTCTTTCTCTCGGCATTTCGGGCCCTGCGGAGGAGGGGTGGATCGGCTTGGCCGTCCCGTTGAGGTGCAGAGAGAGCGCATGACCATTCCGTAACGTCATGGACTTTGCGCGCAAAATTTGAAATAAATCTATTGCTCTCAAAATATTTTTTTTTTTTGCCTAATATCAATTTTTTGGCACGCGTGTCCCAACTAAACAGTATTAAATAAAACGCGTTTTTTTTCTTTTCTGTGTTTTTTTTTTTTTTTTTACCGTATTCGTAAAACGGGGGTATTGTACGTATAACCGGAAAAATTGGCGCCTGCCCATAGAACGCTCAAAATTTCATCGAATGTGAATTGAGCAGGTCAGTTTTACCGTGTGATATTTCAAGGCGCAAGTCTCTTCCTGTAAAAAACGAGAGCAACAAACTTGCCAAAATCAACAATGAGCACGTTCGCAGACGACCGAGGAAACAAAATTGTTCTTCTCATTTTTTTGTTTCTTTTACAGAAAGAGAAATATGTTTTGAAATTTTACATGGAAAAGCTGTCCTGCTCATTGCACATTCGGTGAATATTTGAGTTTTCTATGCGCCGGAACCAATTTTTCCGGCTCGTTTTACGGCGGAAGATCCGTTTGTGCCACTCTGTATATGCGTGTGCATAGTTTTTAAATGTAAAAGCGCCGGAAAAAAAAAAAAAGGACTAAAACAAAAAGGTACAACACAAGGCGCCTTGTGTTGTATCTCTTCGTCTTAGTCAACTATGTGGCCCAACTATCCCCCTTGCTGCTTGCGAATGTTCGTGAGTGCGTGTATGAGTGAGTGAGCACAACAGTGAACATGCAAGTGATCTGTCTCTCCGCAATAGACGATCAACCAACAAGTCTACAGTACTGAAGAATTACTAGCTCTTTCACTTCACATTTTCTGTACATTTTAGCGGGGGCTTTATGATACTGTAAATGGGTGGGTATAGTACACTATACAGTGTATAGTGTAAACTCACCCATTTCGTCTTTGCGTATCTGTGACTGTGTCACATCTACGATTCTCACTTTTTCTTAAAATTCCTTTCTCTTCTCCCCTTTTATACCATCGTAATTTTCTATCTTTTCAGTTTCAAGTTGTAAAGTAGCCGGCATTTTTTGGGGACTGCCCATATTAACACATTTTCAGAATAACAAAGTTTTACACTTGCCGGCTTTTTTTATTTCCGCACGCTCTAGTAAGATGACATCACATGTGGTTCCCCAAGTCAAACAAACAATTTATTTATTTATTATTTTTTATTTATTTTTTTTTTTGGGGGGGGGGGGGGGGGGGTTAAGTTTACGCAATCAAACTTCCTGTAGTTTGTCGGGACCCCGACTTGGCAAATACAATAACTTCATGTAATCATAGTTATTGTGACTTGTTGTTCAAGCTAGTAATTTAGATTTGTCTATCAATGTTTGGTAACAACTTCGAGGAAAATCAGCGACTAGCAAAATTTCGCTCTTGGTTTTTACGCTAGGTAGCGCAAGCTATCGCCCGTTATAAAGGGTAGTGTTGTTTAATGACAACCGCAAGGTTTAATCCCATACGAACTCTTTATTATTCTAAATCTACAACTCAAGCTTCGTTAAACACAGAAGAGTTCTTTTGCGTGGCGTCTTTCGTGCCGTTCGTTTTCGATCTCTCTTGTTCCCACACCGGGCTGTGGCTGTTGCTCGCGTCTTCCTTCTCTCTCCTCTCACCGACGTTTCAAATTCCGCTTCTTTTCCCGTCCGTTTTTCGCACCCCCAGATGGTTGATGGCGGCGGCAGGCGTCTCGTCTTGCTCAAGTTCGCCCGAGCTGGTGTAAACATGACGTGAGGCCGCGGGCAAAGCTCAGTCCGTCAGGTGCCAGTCGAGGTTACCCGAGCATCCACGTGCTTTCCTCGTGATCGGTGTTTTCTCTTTGTGTGTGCTTATTTTTCGTCTTGTCTGTTTACGTTCTTACGCTGCGCCGTACCACGTGAGATTTATCGCCATCTCGTTGTCGGTTTTTCTCTTTCTTGCCCTCCCGAGCTCCGAGTCAGAGTTCAAACTTACAACAGGTAGAGCCACTGTTGCGCATCAGAGCCTATTGCGCATCTATCCATCCATCCATTCAAGCCAACCTCCTTGATTCTAGAGCACTATATAGCTCCTTCGGAGCAGAGTAGCGCAATCTAGAACGCCGCCTCTCGGCGACTAGCGGCGAACGCCCGGAGGTTCCAACTGCGGTCAGAAATGCATGGAGAACGTGAGAAAATCGTTGTTTCTTCAGTATTGAGGGAATATACGGAATGGCAATCGTTTGTGACATAATAATGGAACATTTTAGAATAATTTGCGCTAAGTTTTGTGACCCGCAAGAACTTGACTTTTTTTTAAAAATTGCTTGAGCGGCATCATGCAGCAGACGACACGGCGACGTCACACCATTCACG